TACTATTCTCTCTATGGTTGCATTTGCTGGAAATTTTCCATTTAATAATTTTAAAAACTATATTATTTATTGAGCTCCCACTACGTGCCAGGTTAGTTATGCCAGACAATGAGGACTTGACTAAAAATAAGATGAAGGAAGGCTCTACCCCCAAGACCTCACAGACTATGGGGAAGATTGATATGAAACATAGAATGTCAAAATAATGTAAGGAAAGACATAGAGGGGAACTAGAGCGGGAGCTCAAAGCAGAGTATTCCAAACAGAACAAATAGTACATGCAAAGGCCCAAAGGCTAGAAAGGCTGAGCCTTCCTAGTGTGGCAGAGTGGGAAAAGTATACTAACTGGGTTGGCAGATTTAGCAGAGAAAATACAGGACACCCAGTTAAATGGGTACTTCAGAGAAACAATGAACAACACTTTAGCATAAATATGTCCTAAGAAGTATTCCAGAGATCAGCTTGTCCTTTACCGACATCAGCTCCCTGCTCTGCCTTAGTCCTTGCATCCAATTCAGGAGAATCTCACAGTAAATTCCTTCAAAAAGCCATGCCCCACTGATTGGGAGGCAGAGTTCAACAATCTGAAAATGTTTGTTTCATCTTTTATTTGCTGACCTTGAAAAGGAACATATTAACCAGTGGTTTTGTGATAAGAGGATGACTTGTCATTTTCCTTTTAGCCTAGCATGACGCCCCTGGCTCCAAAACCCTGTGGGAGTGGCTTTCCCATAGGGGGATCTAACTACCCCTTTCAGAGAGGAGGAATATTCAATTATGAAACAGCTGATAAACACAAGAGGAGTTGCTGAGCCAAGTAGGAACACACTTTAGTAACGTAAGTACTGATTTTATAAACCTTTATATATTGACTCACGTCCTCACAACTACTCCACCAAAAATATATTTTAAAATGTGTTCGTAGCACAAGAAAATGTCTGTTTTATACTCACAACATGCTTTCTCGGTGTCCTTAGGGGACAGTTCAAAAGTTGTTTATCCAAATGCTGCTA